TTAGCACTAGAAACTGAACCTAGAAACTGAACAGAACTGAACTAGAACTGAACTAGAACTGAACTAGAAACTGAACTAGAACTGAACTAGAAACTGAACTAGAAACTGAACTAGAACTGAACTAGAACTGAACTAGAACTGAACTAGAACTGAACTAGAACTGAACTGAACTGAACTGAACTAGAACTGACTAGAACTGAACTAGAAACTGAAACTAGAACTGAACGAGAACTGGAACTAGAACTGAACTAGAACTGAACTAGAACTGAACTAGAACTGAACTAGAACTGAACTAGAACTGAACTAGAACTGAACTAGAACTGAACTAGAACTGAACTAGAACTGAACTAGAACTGAACTAGAACTGAACTAGAACTGAACTAGAACTGAACTAGAACTGAACTAGAACTGAACTAGAACTGACTAGAACTGAACTAGAACTGAACTAGAACTGAACTAGAACTGAACTAGAACTGAACTAGAACTGAACTAGAACTGAACTAGAACTGAACTAGAACTGAACTAGAACTGAACTAGAACTGAACTAGAACTGAACTAGAATGAACTAGAACTGAACTAGAACTGAACTAGAACTGAACTAGAACTGAACTAGAACTGAACTAGAACTGAACTAGAACTGAACTAGAACTGAACTAGAACTGAACTAGAACTGAACTAGAACTGAACTAGAACTGAACTAGAACTGAACTAGAACTGAACTAGAACTGAACTAGAACTGAACTAGAACTGAACTAATAGAACTGAACTAGAACTGAACTAGAACTGACTAGAACTGAACTAGAACTGAACTAGAACTGAACTAGAAACTGAACTAAAACTGAACTAGAACTGAACTAGAACTGAACTAGAACTGAACTAGAACTGAACTAGAAACTGAACTAGAACTGAACTAGAACTGAACTAGAACTGAACTAGAACGGAACTAGAACTGAACTAGAACTGAACTAGAACTGAACTAGAACTAGAACTGAACTAGAACTGAACTAGAACTGAACTAGAACTGAACTAGAACTGAACTAGAACTGAACTAGAACTGAACTAGAACTGAACTAGAACTGAACTAGAACTGAATAGAATGAACTAGAAATGAACTAGAAATGAACTAGAACTGAACTAGAACTGAACTAGAACTGAACTAGAACTGAACTAGAACTGAACTAGAACTGAACTAGAACTGAACTAGAACTGAACTAGAACTGAACAAGAATTGAATTAGAACTAACTAGAACTGAACCAGAATTGAACCCGAACTAAAACTGAACTAGAATTGAAATTGATCTGATCTTCCCAATTATTATATTATATTTTTGAATTTATTTATTTCATTACTTTAAAATGAAATAAATTTAATTTTGTAATTAAATACTCTTAATACTCAATATGAAATTCCAATGTTTATTTAATACACTTATTTAATAACATTGTATATTACAAATTTGTTAAATTAATTTCAAAATTCCTTTTGTAGCAATTAATAATAAAATTTCACAGAAGTCAACTTATATAAAGAACTAAATATTTAATATTTGCATAATTATTCATTTGAAATGTTAAAATTTCTCTGTATAACTGAGATTCCCCAGAAAATAACTGCAGCGTTTATCTTGAAAATTTTGTGTAAACAAATGAATAAATTAATTAAATTAAATTTCGTACTCATTGAAAAATGTTTTCATAAATGTGGTAATTGTGTCTGTATAACAATAATTGCTTCAAAAACAATTTATATAAAAGGCGTTCGTTTAGTCATTTAAAGTAATTAATAATTTATAACAATTGTTTTTGCAGTCATTAAATTACAATAATATTTTTAACAATAACAACAAGACAAAAAGGCACAAATACACAATATCTGTTATTACAGCAACAATTTATTATCAACAGCAATTATCGACAAATTTGTAAAAAAAAATACACATGCACTGCAATAAAACAACAACAAAACACTTGCCAGTTTTTGTATAAATATGAAAAATATTAAATAGAATTGTTGTAATGTGTTTATTAGTTGCACAAAAACCCATCAAGGTATTAAATTTTTTCTCCATTTCATTTAAACTATCAGCTATTCTAGATAAATAGATAAAATTTCATAACAACTAAATTGAAAAATAAATAAAAAATGTAATTAACAATTAAATTGATTGTATCATTTATTAAATAAATAATAAAATATTTCAATTGCATTCAATATAAAATTTAAATATTTATGTTTTTTTTTTTTGTGATAGGAATTGAAATGTTTAAAACATTAGAGAATAAAAGGACATTTAAATAAATAGATATTTAGCATATATTTCTGAGAAATTTAATTATGTGTCAGTAATTTGTGACATTCATTTAATAATGATTTTGTTAATTCTAGTTTACATATTTTTATAATTTTCATCTATTAAAGTTTTTAGCTTTTATAAGATTTCGTACACAAATACATGTATATATGTATTTGTGCAATTTGTCATTGTGTAAATCTATCTCTGTTGAAGAATTTGTCAAGGTCTTCTTTTATGACATCAAATTAAAATATTTTTTAAACCTTTAAGATGGAATACGTGTTATCTAAAGAGATAAAATTCAGTTCTAGTTCTAGTTTCAGTTCTAGTTCATTTCTAGTTCAGTTCTAGTTCAGTTCTAGTTCAGTTCTAGTCAATTCTAGTTCAGTTCTAGTCAGTCTAGTTCAGTTCTAGTTCAGTTCAGTTCTAGTTCAGTTCAGTTCTAGTTCAGTTCTAGTTCAGTTCTAGTTCAGTTCTAGTTCAGTTCTAGTTCAGTTCTAGTTCAGTTCTAGTTCAGTTCTAGTTCGTTCTAGTTCAGTTCTAGTTCAGTTCTAGTTCAGTTCTAGTTCAGTTCTAGTTCAGTTCTAGTTCAGTTCTAGTTCAGTTCTAGTTCAGTTCTAGTTCAGTTCTAGTCAGTTCTAGTTCAGTTCTAGTTCAGTTCTAGTTCAGTTCTAGTTCAGTTCTAGTTCAGTTCTAGTTCAGTCTAGTTCAGTTCTAGTTCAGTTCTAGTTCAGTTCTAGTTCAGTTCTAGTTCAGTTCTAGTTCAGTTCTAGTTCAGTTCTAGTTCAGTTCTAGTTCAGTTCTAGTTCAGTTCTAGTTCAGTTCTAGTTCAGTTCTAGTTCAGTTCTAGTTCAGTTCTAGTTCAGTTCTAGTTCAGTTCTAGTTCAGTTCTAGTTCAGTTCTAGTTCAGTTCTAGTTCAGTTTAGTTCAGTTCTAGTTCAGTTCTAGTTCAGTTCTAGTTCAGTTCTAGTTCAGTTCTAGTTCAGTTCTAGTTAGTTCTAGTTCAGTTCTAGTTCAGTTCTAGTTCAGTTCTAGTTCAGTTCTAGTTCAGTTCTAGTTCAGTTCTAGTTCAGTTCTAGTTCAGTTCTAGTTCAGTTCTAGTTCAGTTCTAGTTCAGTTCTAGTTCAGTTCTAGTTCAGTTCTAGTTCAGTTCTAGTTCAGTTCTAGTTCAGTTCTAGTTCAGTTCTAGTTCAGTTCTAGTTCTAGTTCAGTTCTAGTTCAGTTCTAGTTCAGTTCTAGTTCAGTTCTAGTTCAGTTCTAGTTCAGTTCTAGTTCAGTTCTAGTTCAGTTCTAGTTCAGTTCTAGTTCAGTTCTAGTTCAGTTCTAGTTCAGTTCTAGTTCAGTTCTAGTTCAGTTCTAGTTCAGTTCTAGTTCAGTTCTAGTTCAGTTCTAGTTCAGTTCTAGTTCTAGAACTGAACTAGAACTGTTCAGTTCTAGTTCCGTTCTAGTCAGTTCTAGTTCAGTTTTAGTTCAGTTCTAGTTCAGTTCTAGTTCAGTTCTAGTTCAGTTCTAGTTCAGTTCTAGTTCAGTTCTAGTTCCGTTCTAGTTCAGTTCTAGTTCAGTTCTAGTTCAGTTCTAGTTCAGTTCTAGTTCAGTTCTAGTTCAGTTCTAGTTCAGTTCTAGTTCAGTTCTAGTTCCGTTCTAGTTCAGTTCTAGTTCAGTTTTAGTTCAGTTCTAGTTCAGTTCTAGTTCAGTTCTAGTTCAGTTCTAGTTCAGTTCTAGTTCCGTTTCTAGTTCAGTTCTAGTTCAGTTTTAGTTCAGTTCTAGTTCAGTTCTAGTTCAGTTCTAGTTCAGTTCTAGTTCAGTTCTAGTTCAGTTCTAGTTCAGTTCTAGTTCAGTTCTAGTTCAGTTCTAGTTCAGTTCTAGTTCAGTTCTAGTTCAGTTTAGTTGAGTTCTAGTTCAGTTCTAGTTCAGTTCTAGTTCAGTTCTTCAGTTCTAGTTCTAGTTCAGTTCTAGTTCAGTTCTAGTTCAGTTCTAGTTCAGTTCTAGTTCAGTTCTAGTTCAGTTCTAGTTCAGTTCTAGTTCAGTTCTAGTTCAGTTCTAGTTCAGTTCTAGTTCAGTTCTAGTTCAGTTCCGTTTCTAGTTTCTAGTTTAGTAGTTCTAGTTCAGTTCTAGTTCAGTTCTAGTTTCAGTTCAGTTCAGTTCTAGTTCAGTTTCTAGTTCAGTTCTAGTTCAGTTCTAGTTCAGTTCTAGTTCAGTTCTAGTTCAGTTCTAGTTCAGTTCTAGTTCAGTTTCTAGTTCAGTTCTAGTTCAGTTCTAGTTCAGTTCTAGTTCAGTTTAGTTCAGTTTCTTAGTTCAGTTCTAGTTCAGTTCTAGTTCAGTTCTAGTTCAGTTCTAGTTCAGTTCTAGTTCAGTTCTAGTTCAGTTCTAGTTCAGTTCTAGTTTCAGTTCTAGTTCAGTTTCTAGTTCAGTTCTAGTTCAGTTCTAGTTCAGTTCTAGTTCAGTTCTAGTTCAGTTCTAGTTCAGTTCTAGTTCAGTTCTAGTTCAGTTCTAGTTCAGTTCTAGTTCAGTTCTAGTTCAGTTCTAGTTCAGCTCTAGTTCAGTTTTAGTTAAATTTTTGATTAGTTCTACTAAAATGTTTGATTAGTTCTAGATTACTTTTAGTTCTTTTAATGTTTGAGTATAATCCTACCCCCAAAGGGTTAAACTGTTAACATTATAAACCCATTAACAACTTTATGTACAATTTTATATTTATAAACTTACCTTTTTAATTTTAATTTCTGTATAATTTGGTTTTTTGCTGTTTTAAATATTTATTTTAATTTAGTTTTATAATTACACTTAAACAACTGCAGTATAAAATATACATTCATACATATATATTTTTTTTGCTCTTATTTTAAAATGTAAACTTTTATTCACAGTTTTTTTTTCTAATTTTTTCTGTTCTGTTCTGCTTGCACTCGTATTTTATATTTTTTCTTATTTTCCACACAAAAGGTCACGTGTTGTTGGCTGTATTACATTTTGTCTAAATAATGAAAAAAAAAATTATAACAAATTTCTTTTTTATGCAATTTTGTAATAGCAAACAACAACAAAGTTAAAACCACAGCAACAGTATGAGTAAAATAAAACTTTTGTATCCTTGTAAAATTTAAACAAAAGAGAAGCACAGTGTGTGAGAGAGAGTAAAATTTGTTGATGAAGACAGCAACAATACTCACACCATCAACTAGAGATGTTTATAAAATAATGTTGATATGGTTGATAATAATGTTGCTGATATATAGATAATGAGGTTGCTGCTGTTGTTGTTGTTAATAATTATTATAATAATGTTGTAATTTATCTTTTCTATTTATATTTTTTCTGGTTTCTCTTCGATGTTTTTGAAGTGTAGGTATGTATTTATGTAACTATGTGCAAGTGTATGAGTTGTGTTTATATACTTTATCTAAATGGTATTGTTTTCTTTCTCCTTTGCTATTTTGTTGTTGTTATTTCTTCTATATATAGATATCACTGTTGTTGTTGTTTTTAATCCTTAATTAGTGTAACAAGGTGCAAATTAATCCACTTTAGTTAATTAAATTGTTTAGTATGTTACAACTCAGTAGGAGGGATTTGTTTTTTATTTCTATTATTTTCCCTTGTTACTACAGCTTTTGATAAGTTTATTTATTAATTTATTTTTAATCTATTTTTCTTGTTTTTATTGTATAAATAATTAATTTTATTTTTATCTTATATTTTTTCCTTTCTATATAACTTTGTTTACACTGTTATTTGTTGATGTTTAATATATTTTTTTTTTGCTATTTATTCTCAGTTATAATTTTAATATGAAATTTCCACTTTTTTGCTATAATAGATTTTATTTTTTTATATTTCAGATTTATTGATTGATTTGACTTGCATTAAATAGTGACAATATGTACCTGGAAAGAGAAGAACGAAATTGAAATAAGTAAGTGCATGTTTTATATTTTAAATTTTAATTTAATGTTTTAATTACATAATATGAAAAATATTAAAAAGTAATACAGAAAACGAATTGTTTAAAATTGTTTTGAAATGTTGTAAAATCGCCCGTTGGCAAAGCTCATAAATTTAAAAAATTTTGTTAATACAGTTCTATTTTAGTTAACTTTTAATCCTGGCAATGTTCAGTTCCATTTCTGACTAAATTCCAGTTCAGTTCTAGCTCTGTTCTTGCTCATTTTTAGTTCAGTTCTAGTTGAGTTCTAGTTGAGTTCTAGTTTAGTTCTAGTTGAGTTCTAGTTGAGTTCTAGTTGAGTTCTAGTTGAGTTCTAGTTCAGTTCTAGTTCAGTACTAGTTCAGTTCTAGTTCAGTACTAGTTCAGATCTAGTTCAGTTCTAGTTCAGTAGTTCAGTTCTAGTTCAGTTCTAGTTCAGTTCTAGTTCAGTTCTAGTTCAGTTCTAGTTCAGTTCTAGTTCAGTTCTAGTTCAGTTCTAGTTCAGTTCTAGTTCAGTTCTAGTTCAGTTCTAGTTCAGTTCTAGTTCAGTTCTAGTTCAGTTCTAGTTCAGTTCTAGTTCAGTTCTAGTTCAGTTTCTAGTTCAGTTCTAGTTCAGTTCTAGTTTAGTTCTAGTTCAGCTCTATTTCAGTTGTAGTTCAGTTCTAGTTCAGTTCTAGTTCAGTTCTAGTTCAGTTCTAGTTCAGTTCTAGTTCACTTCTAGTTCAGTTCTAGTTCAGTTCTAGTTCACTTCTAGTTTACTTCTAGTTCACTTCTAGTTCACTTCTAGTTCAGTTCTAGTTCAGTTCTAGTTCAGTTCTAGTTCAGTTCTAGTTCAGTTCTAGTTCAGTTCTAGTTCAGTTCTAGTTCATTTCTAGTTCACTTCTAGTTCAGTTCTAGTTCAGTTCTAGTTCACTTCTAGTTCACTTCTAGTTCACTTCTAGTTCACTTCTAGTTCAATTCTAGTTCACTTCTAGTTCAGTTCTAGTTCAGTTCTAGTTCAGTTCTAGTTCAGTTCAGTTCTAGTTCAGTTCTAGTTCAGTTCTAGTTCAGTTCTAGTTCAGTTCTAGTTCAGTTTCTAGTTCAGTTCTAGTTCAGTTCTAGTTCAGTTCTAGTTCAGTTCTAGTTCAGTTCTAGTTCAGTTCTAGTTCAGTTCTAGTTCAGTTCTAGTTCAGTTCTAGTTCAGTTCTAGTTCAGTTCTAGTTCAGTTCTAGTTCAGTTCTAGTTCAGTTCTAGTTCAGTTCTAGTTCAGTTCTAGTTCAGTTCTAGTTCAGTTCTAGTTCAGTTCTAGTTCAGTTCTAGTTCAGTTCTAGTTCAGTTCTAGTTCAGTTCTAGTTCAGTTCTAGTTCAGTTCTAGTTCAGTTCTAGTTCAGTTCTAGTTCAGTTTAGTTCAGTTCTAGTTCAGTTCTAGTTCAGTTCTAGTTCAGTTCTAGTTCAGTTCTAGTTCAGTTCTAGTTCAGTTCTAGTTCAGTTCTAGTTCAGTTCTAGTTCAGTTCTAGTTCAGTTCTAGTTCAGTTCTAGTTCAGTTCTAGTTCAGTTCTAGTTCAGTTCTAGTTCAGTTCTAGTTCAGTTCTAGTTCAGTTCTAGTTCAGTTCTAGTTCAGTTCTAGTTCAGTTCTAGTTCAGTTCTAGTTCAGTTCTAGTTCAGTTCTAGTTCAGTTCAGTTCTAGTTCAGTTCTAGTTCAGTTCTAGTTCAGTTCTAGTTTAGTTCTAGTTCAGTTCTATTTCAGTTGTAGTTCAGTTCTAGTTCACTTCTAGTTCACTTCTAGTTCACTTCTAGTTCAGTTCTAGTTCAGTTCTAGTTCAGTTCTAGTTCAGTTCTAGTTCAGTTCTAGTTCAGTTCTAGTTCATTTCTAGTTCAGTTCTAGTTCAGTTCTAGTTCACTTCTAGTTCACTTCTAGTTCACTTCTAGTTCACTTCTAGTTCAGTTCTAGTTCAGTTCTAGTTCACTTCTAGTTCACTTCTAGTTCAATTCTAGTTCACTTCTAGTTCACTTCTAGTTCAGTTCTAGTTCAGTTCTAGTTCAGTTCTAGTTCAGTTCTAGTTCTAGTTCAGATCAGTTCTAGTTCAGTTCTAGTTCAGTTCTAGTTCAGTTCTAGTTCAGTTCTAGTTCAGTTCTAGTTCAGTTCTAGTTCAGTTCTAGTTCAGTTCTAGTTCAGTTCTAGTTCAGTTCTAGTTCAGTTCTACTTCAGTTTTAGTTCAGCTATATTTCAGTTCTAGTTCAATTCTAGTTCAGTTCTTATTCTGTTCTATTCTGTTCTGATTAATTGTTTTGTTTCCTTTGTTTCCAGTAAAAATATCAATTTATGAAATATTTTGCCAATATGGCTCTAAATTAAGCAAGTTTCTCCTCTCCCTTTTGTTTAAGGGAGTGACCAAATCAAATTAATTTTTTAGCACATAGTGAGGTAATTATTTTTTTCAAAAATATTCCCTAAACTCTAATCGATTAATTATGTATTTAAAATTAAGCCATCCATTATGGATTTTGTCGAACTATTAAATCATTTCCAACAGCTTGAAATAAGTCTACTTTCAAAACTCCCTCCATAAATAAAACAAAATTAAAACTTAACACAAAATTCCTTTTATCTCTATGATTTCATTCCACATTTATTTTTGCGCTATTATTAATTTGTTTCCACTTCCAGTCTTTCGAAAATGTTTTATAATTAAACTCAAAAAATATTTAAAAAAAGCAGAGAATTAACAATTTGAATTTTTCTTGTACAATAAACAAATTAACAAATTTCTCACGCTTTATCGCTTTAAAAAGCAATTAAGTATTTAAAGTTCATAAATGTCAGTAAATTGTTTTTTTTTTTCATATTGTTAATGGGACTTCAAGCTCAAAACACATACACAGCGACGGACAGACAGACACCACTTAGCAATATAACAACAGCTATAATAATAAAATTAACAAAAAAATAAATAAAAAAGAAATATGCAAAAAAAAAAAGAATAAGTAAGAAAATAAGTATGGCATGGACAGCCAAAAACAGAAATGTTAAAAATAATTTTTTTTTAAATGAAAAGTATTTATTTACTCGCATGTAGGAAAACACATTCAGCTCAGCTAAATGCGAGTAAAATATAAAGCCCGTCGGCAAGTTTAATTGTTAAACAATTTAAACTACAACAACAAAAAGAAAACGAATAATGAGTATAAAATAAATGATGTGTTATCACAACATAATTAACACAATATCACTGGCTTTACACTGTAACTGCTAATATTTTTTTTAATGTGAGTGTAAAAAGCTTAACCCATAAAGCATCATTTAGCATAAAAGACACATTTAGTAAAAATGCCTGAATTTAAAAATTTAAAAGACGTATTTAGTAAAAATGCCTGAATTTTAAAACATTTCTTGGTATTAAAATTTTTATTTTGGGTGTATAATTTCAAAATTTGTGAAAGAATTCTTTATAAAAACAAATAATAGTTGGACGAAGTAATATGTCTGAACCAAAAAGCGGATAAGACATCCGAAAATCTTTAGTAGTAATTTCTACAATAGTGGAATGACTCATTTTCATTACTTACTTAAAAATACCAGATCGCGATTAAATTTGATAGAAAATTATCCACCAGATTTCATGAAAATCGGCCCATAATTGAGCTCATTCTCATGTAAACCTTTCCACAGAATATCAATTTATAGCAACAAAAAAAAAAAAAAATATAGTTAAAAAGATATAGATACAATCAAATTAATATGATTTTAAAGAAATTAAAGACTCTTTAAAATTTTATTCCATATTGATCCTAGCCTCTATTAAAGGTCCTCTAACGAAAGTCGCCCTGATACCCTAATTAATATCGATATGTGGTAATACAAATTATCAGGTCTTAGAAATATGTAATAAAATAAGTATTGGTCTCATAACAAAAAGATCCACTAAGACGAGATTTTTGAAAATTCAAGTATTTAGGGGACAAAAAAGGTTAAAAACGAGTAAATTCGGTAACATCATATGTCCGAAACTATAGAAGTTACAACAAAACTGTAACTGTAAAACAGGTGTCGGGTACTTTTTTAAAAATTTGCCCTTTTAGGGACTAAATGGGAAACATTAATTTTGGTATCTTTTGAAACGGTGAACATAAAATAAAATTTTTAATTCATTTGTAACTAATCGAAAAAATAGAATGTAAATTACGTAATTACGGAGTACCTTGGATATTCGGACGTTTAAGGGTTGAAAACTGTACCTATTTTTTTGGTACCTTTTTCATAAAACATTGATTTTGACATTTCGTTTGTAACACATCGAAATATTGATCATAGACCCACAAAGGTACCTATATATTCTGGGTCCTTATTAAATTCTAAGACGATCTAGCCATGACCGTCCGTGTGTCTGTCTGTTGAAAGCATGACAGAGTCCGAACAAAAAGAGCTAGATGCTTGAAATTTTCCACAAATATTTACTATAGATAAGGTTTGTTTGGTATTAAAAATGTGCAATATCGGGTCATGTTTTCGCATAGCCCCCATACAAGTGGCCCCCGTAAAGCAGCTTTATCAGCCATAACTGTTTAATAAGTGCGAGTATAGCGATTAAATTCGACATAAATGAGTTGCATATGAGCCAAATTCTTTCTACCAAATTGTATGAGGATTGGTCCATAGTTGACCCAACCCCTCATATAAGTTCCCCTCCAAGAAATGACATTAACACTCATTACTGCCTTAAAATAAGAATATAAGTTTCTTACGAGTTAAAATCTATTTACCAAATTTGATGAGGATAGGTCCATAATATACACTATCACCCATATAAGGCCCTCCTTAGAAAATGACTTTAACGCTCATTACTGCCTTAAAAATAAGAGTGTAGCGATGAAATTCGACATAAGCAAGTTTCTTACAAGTTAAAGTCTATTTAATAAATTTTATGAGGATCGGTCCACAATTGACTCTACTACCCATATAAGGTCCCCCTCAGAAAATGACTTTAACGCTCATTACTGGCTTGAAAAT